CAAACAGCAGTAAATACCGGAATGAGGCTCATTGGAAACCATCATAGCAGTGTAAATAAGCTAAGGTGACAATATTTTGAAAACCAGGACGCTCAGCCCGGCAATGAGATACTCAGATGAAACTCCAAGTTTACTCAAAGATGCCTTGAAATTTCAAAACATTTAAAGTATGCCTCCTCTGTATGGATAGAAAATTGTCATGTTACCAAATACCATCTATAGCCAGACATAAATTCAAATAGGCTTCTCAAAGGTTACTCAACATGTTTTATCCTGACAAGTTTCAAATATAAACGACTGAAATAATGATCGAAACACTGTCTGTATTAGAAAAATAAAAAAAACACCTCTGCTTTATTAGCGATCCAACTCCAATCCAACAAAAAAATAGCTCTCACAAACTTACAACTTAAACTAACCCTAACAAATATCTAACTCTCTAGTTGTCTTCTTCATCCTGTTTTTCTTCCTCATCCTCCTTGTTTGTCCATCTAAATTTTAGAGGCCCAATGAAAAACAATGAAAACCATGAAATTTTCGTCATTTTGTTGAAAACAACCAGGGCAGCGAGGACAGGGCATAAAAAAAACTGGACATGTCCTGGGAAAACAGGATGTTTGGTCACCCTAACATGAACAAATGCATTCAAAAGCTTCTGAGACTTGTTGGGCCCTCATTACATTTATTATCAAATATTGAACATAATGACACGATCTGGACCCCCGTTAACAAAACTACAACATCCTTAATCCCAGGGCCCGATTCTCAGATTCTCATCCTCAGCCCAAAGTGATTCTAACTAAATGGGTGACCTTTCATTACTCCAAATTGCAAAGAGGTATTTGTATCATTTCTGTGTCAACATTAAAGTGTAGGGGCAGCCTCATGTCATGGCAGGCAATTAAGCAAGGCTATATCCATGTCCAAGTGTGAAGGAGGGAAATGCATGTGTGGGCTTGTTTGGAGACTCAGTGGTGTTAATCATCTTAATTCTCTGTGTGGAGCTGAGAGACAAAAGGTGACCAAGCTGGGGGTCCATAAAACACAAGTTGTTTGGTGCTTTCACATCTGTAATTTTTCTTTATTTTTTTCTGAACAAATTACTAGTGATGTGTTGGACCGGTTCAAAGAGCCGACTCTTTAACGTGAACAATGGGAGCTGTTTTTTTTTTCTTTTCTTTTCTCTCTTTTTTCCCCCCGCAAACCGTAGAAAAAATCTACAAGGCAGAATGACGGGATTTCTACCTGCTTTGTGTAGCAGAGTGATTCTACTAGTAAGTCAGTGCATCCAATGGGTGGTTTCACAGAGTTAAAAGGGTCTGTAAATGAAAACACTTCGTAACAGCAATTAACTTATATTAGAAAATGTAATTTTTACTTGTGAATACTTCAGTACAAAGGATGTATTGAATTATTTAAGAGGTATGTGTTCACATACATACATAAACCAAACAACGCTAAATTTGGCTGAACTAGAAAATGTATAAGTGGTAAAATGAAGAGCCATTTGAGAGCCGAAAGAGCCAGCTCTTCTTTTTTAACTGAGCCGAATAATCTGGCTCACTAAAAAGAGCCGTAATTCCATCACGACAAAATACCACATTGTTGCCTCTGACCATGATCTGTTTGATGTTTAGTCTGATTTTAAAAGAGGGTATCTCAGTGTTCCTCCAACGCGTGGACAATTACAGAAAAAGCAAAAATCCTGGAAAAATACTTCAACATTTGCTTTATTTCTTACCAGAATTCCCTGGGTTTTGGAGGCAGTTGAGCATGCCTGTAATGAGTCCAAGTCAAATTTTCTGAGGGCACGGAGGAGTGTATAGTAACGTATTTCATTTGATATTGTATCATAGAAAGGAAGACAGTTTCATCTGGGAGGACTATTACAGATATCCAAAGGGAAATACTTACCTAACTGGTGGAAGCCAAACAAAAAGGCTGGATTTCTGAGTCAGAATTGCATTTCCTGTATTGTAACAATCCCATACGACCTGCGACGTATACTTTGCCTAAGACATGCAAATCCATCACCACGGTACCAGGCCACCCTATTGTGGACAGACTGGTCAGACTACCTTCAAGACTGCACCGATAACCCACCTAATTAACTGCTCCTAGATCTTGCCAATTATATCATAAAACACATTGCCTTCAGTTTTGACAAATATTTTTGTTTACATATCTCAGGCACAAGTATGGGCACAATTTGTGCACCAAATTACACCCATTCATTTGTTGGATAGTTTGAAAAGAACTTCATCTTTAACCCAACAATCAACACGCACTTTCCGAAGATCATCAAGTGGTACAGATTCACTGATGACTTCTGCATTTACCAAGGACAATATGATGAGGCAAAAGACTTTGTCACCCTATTGAACAGATCTGATGTGGCCTGGAGTTCACAGCCAACCACAGTCAATAAGTTTTTTTGACATGTGGGTCATGAAAAAACTACAGTTCTCTTTCAACTTATTGTTGCCCACCAGTTTCCACCCCTCACCCTTCGAGAAGGACCCCTCTATCAGTTAGGTCCTTCAACTGAGGAAGGTTAGTCATTCCACAGAGGACTTTAAAGAAAAACCTTTGGACATGACAAACAGATTTTTACAACAGGGTTATCCACCACTATGGATTGACCATGCCTAAGAAAAGGCTGTTAAAGCAACACACTCGGATTTATTGAAAAAAGCATGAAAAGAGGAAAACAATCTCCATTATGTGTTACACTGTACACTGCCCACATGAACACCATATAATCCATTTTATTGGCTTTTCTTGAAGTCTGACAATAAACTTTCCGCCTTTTTTTCCCCGCTTTCTTACATGTTATGCTGTCCATGTGGTCTGGCCTATATAAAAAAAAAACTACCAGAAAGCTCAAACAAATAATAAGTCAACACAAAAGCTCCAGAAGTCAGTCATAGGTCAGAAGTGACTGGGACTATTCAGTGGCTGTACACTTTAATGATACACAAACACAACATCTCTATATTTTGTCTCTGTGGCACTGAACAGGTTACCCTTCCTGCCGGAGGGAAGGATCCGGGCAAATTCCTGAAACAACAGGGAAGCTTTTTGTATTTACACCCTCTAATCACTGACCTCAGAAAGACTAAATAATGAGCAGTTACCAAACTGTTTCTCTTTTTTTTTTTGTCATTTCTTGTTTAGATACCCTGGGCACATAGAATACACAGCTGATAGTTAACCATATAATGCTTATAATCCAGTGTGCCTTATTGCCATAAAAGTAAAGTTTGAGAACAATGCCAAATTAGGATTTTTCTCTTCCCCTCTCTGTCACTGTGGCAGGGTGGCATTGACACACTCTGTTAGCCCAAGATTAAATGAATAAATAATGTAAAATGAATAAAGACAGATAGAAAGAACTGTTTACCACTTGGTGGTGTTTTTTTTTTTTTTGACAGAAATTTCAACCATCCTTTTTGGCAGCTTTGAAAGCCATGCTGTCAACAGGATCATTTTTAGACTCTAGGTGTGATCGCTCAACCTACAGTGAAAGTTTCTGACAGTGGCTCGAGATAACATTTTCAGAAATAAAAACTGAAGACTAGAGCAGCCACAACTTAAGTATAGAGTGATTAAAGATACTGTACTTTAGTTACATGAATGAAGTAAGAACACAAAAGGTTTGGGACCACTGCTCTCAGTCATCTTTGTAAAAACTGCCAATAAATGTGGCTCAGTGGTAGGGCTGTGCATGCAGTTTATACATCACCGCACTGAGCCATTCAAAGACCACAAAAGGGTTTCCACGTCTATTCTGGTGTTGCACATTGTTACACATTTATTGCCTTCTTTGAGCGTTTTAGTGTGTGAAAATATGAGCAAACACACAGAGCTGAAGCGGGAACAGCTCAGACTGAGCCAGAGACCCACGGGGTTGATGCAGGAGGGGATAGCTTATATTAGTACACAGACTCTTGTGTCTCCTGAGGCCTATATAAAATGTTTTCAGCAGGAAATGATTTCATTCCTGTTACTGTTTCCTAGCCAGGGTTGTACAGCTGGTGAAGGTAAAGGTATGACCCATGTGAGGATTGATGCAAAGGCCCACCAGCCAATTATTCAGAACTAACTTCCTTTACAAATCAATACTGCTGATGATCCTTCATTAGGAAGTAGAATTTCTTGTGTTGACTTGTCTGCAGTCTCCAGACCGCAACATGATTTCAATGACCTGTTGAGCATTTAGTGTCATTTTAGCTGTGTTGAACTGGACTTTCCTGGAAAAATGAGGACAATGATCTGATTTGCCAAGAGTATAATCAGTGTAACCTTGATCTACCCTTTTTGCATGATTGGCTGATGTACAAACAATCACAAAAAAGCAAGGCTGCACAAAGATGCCAAAACTCTCCAATGACTTAGTCACAGCTGGCTCTTGCGCTCAACAAAAATGAAGATTTAATTTTATTTTAGTTGCAGGTTTTTGCAGTGTTACCGACTTGCGAACTGCACACAGAGAGACAGAAACAAGCACAAGATATCAAAGCAAATATCTGATATCTTGAAGATTAAACACAAGGAAAGGGCTGGGATGCTCGACACACAGCTCAGAGACAAACTGGCAAACAGTGGAGGAACAAACTAACTCATTTTAAGCTTCAGTCTATATTTTGAAGTTCTTGGGAAAACTTGCTGAAGTAAGATTTCTGCTGTTTCCAGTTTGTTAGAGACACGATTTAACACATGACAGCCTTCCTATTTAAATAAGCGTAGATGTTGATGCAGAGGTTTCAAACTCTCTTTTCTTCTGTGCTTATAAGCTGTTTTGAAGGGATTATTTTTGCTTTGTCTGCACTTTAGATCATTACCCTGGCTCTTCAACTGTACAGCAAAACTTTTGACCGTAGTGTATATTCACCACATTAGACTTTTGTGCAGCTCTTTGCATCAGAGAGCTCAAATAGACACCTGGCATTAAAGACTCTTTAAGTGCTTCTCAGGTTAGCCAAGCAGCATGCTATGGCTTTGGGAAGGGCAATGCAAAATCCCCTACAGGTATACAGAGATGCTTTGAGACTTGAGAGAAGGAGGAAGAGGAGGAGGAAGAGGAGGAGGGGGAGGCTGGGGTGATGGTGTCAAATCTTGGCCATCAGCAATATTTGGTGTAGCTGGGATCAGTGAGAGGTAGATGAGTTTAAATAGACCACCTGAGTGTAAGAATCCTGGGCTGTGATTGGTTTGTGGGTGATTGGAGATTCAGATTTTCGGTTTTCGCTTCTTCTTCGTTTGTTGAAATTTGGCTACTATGAACATGAAATATTACTCTATGCTTATTCTGAGCACAATGTCAATCTGTCATTGTTTTAAAATGATGGTTATGCTCCTCTCTTGCTCCTCTCCCTGCTTTCCTCTCCCTCTTCCTGCTCCCCTCCCTGCTCTCCTCTCCTCTCCTCCTGCTCCCTCCTCTCCTTCTCCTGCTCCTCTCCCTGCTCTCAGATTTCTTCTTTCTTTCATCACTCTGATAAAAAAAGAGGTTCTGTCTTAAATCCTGTCCCCTGTCTTTGCTCTGACTTGTCCTCTTCTTATCAACAACTCTGAACATTGTTGCTGTATGGCTTGAAAAGTGTTTCTCTACAGATAGAGAAAAAATTGTTTAACAATTTCTTGTCAGACAGTTATGCTTCCCGCCCACACATACACCTGCACCTGCCACTGTCAGCCATGCCACATGATTGATTGTGGGCTGCATATCATTTTATTGACTCTTACAGATTTTACTGATAAAAAGTGTCGCTTGTTCTTTTTTGCTTTGAGGACTTTGTAAGGCATGCCTGCTCCCACCATGACTTGCAAACCTCACCATCTGGCAGGGACACATTTCAGCAGCAGCCTGAGAACGTGCCAAATTACATTTAGTTTTGAGTAAACTACTTCTCGTGCTGCTACAAGCTGCCGTTTTCTCACTGTTGGGATAACGCTAATCACCTGTGATTACTTAGCATAAGGTGGGCTGCGTTGTGTTTTATAACTCATGTCAGTTTAGTGTGACATGACCAGACTTTATAGTGATTTCTAGGAACAGGAAAAAGGAGTCTACTGTGTGATCTCAGAGCGTGATGAATTAATGTAGGTTAACATACATCCGCTTAATTCCTCAGTCTGCCAAGAAATGCTCGATTAACAAAGCCTTCAAGATGCCTCAGCTGCCATTAGACAACACAACAATATCCTATTCAGCCCTGCAACAGCTGCATCACCTTTCATTGTCTATTAAAGAATGCACACTACAGCACCAAGGTTACATCAGTCATGCTGTATAAACTTTATCCACCTGCATTTTGTGCCCGCTCCTTCGCCTCCTTCTGTCTCCCTCTCCCTCCTCTCCTCTCTGCCTCCATCAGCCATTGGTATTCTCATTTGAAAGGAAGAGAACAGAGCGGGAAAGAATAAGCATGGGGATGCAAGGACGCGTGGCGGAGAGAATACTAAGCACCAATGGGTGTTAAACACAAAGCCCCCGCGCAAACGCTGGTGCACACACAAACATGCACGCTGGCATGCACACTCAGAGGTGTATATAAGCACACATAACTCGGCAGCACACAAGCACGCACACATGAACACAAAAGCTCTGGTGGGTATTAGTGGACCCCTTGGTGCAGGTTGAATAGAATGTATTTGTACCTCAGGCTTAAACAGGGAGGATTATGGGGGATACGAGGGGAATGCTAAAGCTAGGAGGGAGGCCAACGACCTTGGTATGGACTAAAATGGAGGGAGGAGTAAAGGGGCTGGTTTGTTGTTGGCGAGTCATTCGAAATTGCTGCAAACATGAGTGTTGAAAACAATAATGGCCTCGTGTGGTTGCTAATGTGTGTGTGTATGTGTGGAGATAACCACAGTGTTGTCGTCATCAACGAAATCTGGTTGTGAAGAGTTTCATCTTCCTAAAAATGATGCAACATGTTTGCAAATGATGAGCTCTTGCTCACTTGAGATTAGCATTGATGATCCGTTTTGTGCCTTTTTTCCACTTAGACTTGAGGGTGTGAGAGTGTATGTGTGTATGTGTGTGTGTGTGTGTGTGTGTGTGTGTGTGTGTGTGTGTGTGTGTGTGTGTGTGTGTATCTATGCACCACTACTTTCCCATTTTGCATGTGTTTCTCTTTGCCCAATTGCATGGAAACAGGGGAATGTATCATATACTAGTTATGAGAGGCATGACAGAATGCATAATTTATTTTCATTTGGGCTCCTGTAGTCGCTACAGCGTGTGTGTGTGTGTGTGTCTGTGTGCGTGCGCCTGTGTAGCTACCAATGGGAATCTGGCTTTTCTTGGTCTAAATTCTAGTGTGCATGCATGTGTGTGTGCGTGTGTGTGTGTGAAAGGAGAGAAAGTTGGCACGTCTGTGTAATAACCTGGGATTGGATGTGTCAGGTCATTTCTACAAGTGTTAAAAAAAAGCAGCGAGGAGAGACAAGCAATCTGATGAGTGTAGCTGCATCTCAGCTCATCAGTGGGGGGTGGAGGTGGAAGAGGGCGTTGGAGGAATCACCAATGTAGTGGTGGTTAACTCTGACAGATTGAAATAAGATAAAGGATGGGTGAGGAAAGGATGGAGAAAGGGGTGGATGACGGACAGAGTGAGGATAAATATAAGACAAAGCATGGAGGTGAGAAGGGTAAGAGATTATGAAAAAATTATAGGAGAACAGAGGAATGGAGAGAAGTATCGTAGGAGAGATTAATGAAGGTGAAGAGCAGAGTGAAGGACAGCAGTTGAAGAGGGATGGAAGAATGTGTGGAGGAACGGTTGATAAAGGCTCAAGCAGGAGGGATGAAGAGGTGTTTGGAAGAGACGCATGCTTGAAGAGGGAGGATTGAAGGACAACCTTGTGTAAACTGGCAAAAGGCTTCAGTTAAAGAGTGTCTTTATCTCCAACTCGGCCTCTGTATCTAAAGCAGCTCTGTGCCTCTTTCAGGATTAACATTTCAATGTATCCATCCCTTCTAACAAAACCTGTCTATAGTAGACCAACATGACTTACATCAGGGTCTGAGTGTACCAGCTGGGTGTTAAAGGGATATAGAGGGTTAGACACCCCTTCGAGAGATGAATTTTGCCTACTGCTTGCTTCTCTAGTTATACCAACTTTTGTAACGACCGCACGATAGCAATACACAGTGGTCGATGTCTCCAGCGCAAACCTCAACCAAAAAGCCACTCTATTTTCTGTTGACTGTTACTACAATATCGCTAAAGCGTTCTAACACAAAAACAATAACAACAAAAACGGTAATAATAAAAATAATAAGTGAGTGCACAGAATGCAGTGGAAAATTTATGATTATTACTTATTGGAAATGCAATCAGACCGAGACTCTAAGGCAGAAGAACTTCCGGGTCTGCAATGCACAGACAAGATACACAAGAACTCTGATTGCATTTGCATGAAGTAATAATAATAAATGTTCTTCCTTGAGCTGCGAAACTCCGCTACACTCGGTGATCTACTGTATGTCTAAGAATTTCTCATAAGAGATAAATACATGAACTCATAGGGCACTATTCAGACAGCGAAAAGTACATGGAGCACACAGCAGCACTTGATCTATCAGCACCATAGGCCTGTAAAATGTCTCTATTTATCACAGGTGTACATGTACATGGATGTCTGTCTGGTGAGTCATACCACCAAGATTACAAACATAATCTAGATTACTTCACATACCAAAGATCATAGCCTTTGCCAATAAAATCTGGTATGTGTTTTTGCAGAAGCAGTGATCAGACTAACCCTTCTTGATTTTGACAACCATAATCCTAGTCAGTCCATACTTGAGTCAAAGCACACTTCAACATGAAATATGGAAATAGTCCCCCAAGATGCCTGATATGATGTTGACAAGACTGAGTTGCATAAGAAGAGGTATGGAGGGGCTAAAAAAAAAGTGGTACTTTGGCACTCTGGTGACAGTATTTAACTTCAGCTTCGCAGCCTCAGTTCTGAGTCACACTGCTAGGCTTCTGTATCAGATCATGAGGTAAAAATAACAACCCAAACCGAACAACTAATCTGATGACAACTCTCTCCTTTCCCACTAAACAAACTATCTGCGCTGCTCTCTGCTCTGCTGACGTGGAGGCGATTCAGCAGTAAAAAGTCATGCTGTGTGCTACAAGCAGCTGCTGTTAGCTCTCCTCTGAAGTTTGAAGAAAGTCCTAGTCTTTGATTTACAGAAGACTACAAAGGGTGTGTGTTCTCAATAGACATCAGGTATAGCATTTAAAGTGAGATCTCCAAATCCTTCTGTCTGCTAATATTCTGTAGACTGTTAAACAAGAAAAGCAACTTATAACACTGACACAATCCTAAACTGACTACTCTGACGAAGAGTCCTTAGTGCAACAAAATTAGAGCATAATCTGATTGAGTTTGTAAGAGCAGAGTAACAGACAGGGTCTGAAAAAGAAGAAAACTCAACCCGAGCAATTTCCTTCAAGGGTGTCAGGCTAAGAGTCTCGCTTTTATGTCTTAATTGCCTTTGGCCTTTCCAGCTCCAGGATGAAAAAAGTACCAGTTCTCCCCTTGTGTATCTGCTGACATGTGTATCATGTGGCCAGCACCAGTAAAATATCAGTGTAATGTTCTATATTTCTACAGTCAGTGAAAAGATATCATGAAATAATTATGATTTTCACAGCACACATTTCTTGAATCTTCCAGCTCTGCTGCTGCTCATGTCCTCTTTGTGCCCTTTTAGAGCCGGGCAGACGCTGCTGTTTTCTGTGGATTCAGATATTCCGTTGTTTCTCTGAACCGTAGAGACTTGGGAATTCAAGTTAATTTGATGTTACTCTCTGGTGAAAATAGGCAAGCTGGCGTGATGTAATTCCCGCAAAAGCACAGCATCACTTAGTGTGCTATTGTTAATGCATTTCAGGTGCTGTAATGAGTCACTAAGAGAAACTGTGATGTGGAGAGGATGAGGAAGGGTACTGGAAGCCTGTGAGAAGTCCCAAGTTCAGGTATGACAGGGGATCATGTATAGGCACAGCTGAACTGCATACTGGACTGTGTTGGCACAGATTTGATTATTACACAACCTGTCTTAATTTACGGATAATTCCTCATTCAACTAAACTAGAGGAAATTGCAGAGTCATCATGTTAAGTTGAGTCCCATTGCCCGAATTGTGGCTTATGGGAAATGGGTGGCGGTTCAACACGTACCAGAACTACATACCAACATTTTCAAATATGTAACAATCAATGAAAACCTAGCATATGTTGAAAACAAGGCAGTGTGAGGTATTTTATATTTGAAACAACTGATATAGATGCTTAGGAGATAAGATAAGCCACTACGAGAAACCAACTTATTTCTATTTCTGTTATATCACCGGAAGTTTCTCCCATAATAATAATAGAAGCGCCCTCACAAATTAGGTGGATACAAAAAGGGGTACACATCCAGCCACACCGTCAAGAGGTTGATTAATAAAAGGTTATGTATGCCGTCAGTTGCTCTGAATGAGGTGGCCAACTGCCCGTACAAGCAAACAGCTAGGCTCCACAGCAAGCGCTAACTGCTAGCCAGAGAGCAGCAGGCAGAGACGAAGATAGACCACCATACAAAGCTTATGAAACACCACAAATTAGCAGACAACAGCAGGCTGAAACCGGGAGACAAAGCAGCGGCGTCCTTTGTCAGCTGATGTTGACGTCAGACACAGCGAAGGTAATTACTGTCATTTAGCAGATTTCACCCTCAACCGCAGCAAACACCCGTGCACACAAGGAGGGGAGGATAAAGAGAGAGACCCAGGCAGCTACCCGCATCTCACCACCATAAACGGGAGCTAAATACGCACACGCCAAGGGCACGCCAGTCGCTCTGTTACAGCTTTACACCTGACCCGGAAGTGATTCAGATGGGAGCGCAAAAGGACTGGGGGAGAGTTGCGGCCTCAATACTTGGCCTTCTGTGCTGCTACATTTCTCCTCAATGAAAAAATGCAAGTGGAGGGTGACGCATGGAAGCAGTTTAAGGGAACTGAGATGTGACCAGTCTTGAAGGCCACCATCCCTTCACTGACGCAAGAGGTGAGCAGAGGAGTGTTTCAGTCTAGAATATGACCATTGGGTTTCGCCACCTTCAGCACACCTTTAAGGTTTTACTGCAAAGCTCCGATATGATTGCACTCAGCTTAATCACATCAACTCCCTAAATAATTCCAGTTCTCCCTCCTCCGCTGTTGCAGAGAAACTTTCCAGGAGAGAAAAATTAAGCTGCAAACGATTCTGCTGCAGAAAGTTGTAGTGCAGGTTTCCAAGCCAGATGGATAGTTAATTAAACTGACAAAAGTGGTTTATCTTTAAGAACAGATTCTGCATGAACAAGGAATACACAGGCAAATTATGAGATTTAGGTGTTGTGAATATTCTGGTTTCTGTTATCTGGGTAGTGTCATCCACCGGGATTTTAACAGGCTTCGGCTGCATGAAGGAAAACAGTCCAACTGAAAGGTGAAAGGGTCAGAGTGCAAATGCAGAAACCCTTCCAAAAGACGTCATAATTTCCTAAGCAGCCACTATGTGGTTGCTATGTGGGTTGCTAAGGACGCTATGGCATAGTTTCTGTAGACTTAGGCCAGAGGACTCTACTGCAACTATAGATTATATACAGCCTAATATCACTGAGCAAGTTATGAAAAATGATTAAAAGCGTACATGTTTGTAAAGGTTGAAAATGTGAACACACAAACTTACCGTATCTATCGACTAAACTACTGTCTCCAACTGTGTGTCTGACACGTGTCCTTTCCTCCTGACAGGTGTTGAGTACACAACCCTCTAACAGACATTTCCGAGCATCTCTGGACTCCTAACTGCTGCAGGGCGGTGTAAATCTCAGCATGGGTTTGAAAACCGTCCTACTAACTCTGAGTATTCTTCCAGTCCAGCCATAATACTAGCTGCTTTTACTTTTTCAGCAATCTGGAGCTTCACTTCTGGGTTACAAAACCTGTGCCAGTCAGAGATGGTACAATTGGATAAACTTAGTCGTTATCTAATTGTTCCATTTTGAATCTGAACACAAAATGGAGAATCTGGAACACGAGTTTTCATCCCTTTTTACAATTATGTTTGGGAAACAAGTTTCAGAAATAATATTTTTGGTTTATTTTGATAAAGAAGTGAACTAATATCACACAGATTCATCTCAAACAAGTCTCTGTCATGTCGTTTTCTTGCTGTTCAATCTTCCTCCTTTGTTAGCTTTCACTATGCACCCACTATGTTAACGGGGTTTGACCCGTGTCTGAAATCAGCTATAAATTACACTCAAAACTTCTCTATCATCCAATTTGGTTCTCATCTCTAGGTTATCTTGTTAGGCTTCATTATCCATGAAAATATTGCTTTTAATATTGTTTGTTGTTGGCCTCTGGGCCTTTCTTTGTTTGAATACCCCTCGTACAAACATCTATACTGAATTAATCTGACATGTCTGGACATGCCTGAGGTTGTTTTCTGTGCAAGGAGAAACGTGGCAAAATAAGAATTCCCTAAATCTCACATGATTTGGAGAGGATCTGGCTGTCTGCGGGGTGCCTTACAGTGCACTTAAGATTTCAGTTTCAGGCTGATGATTGCTGTTGTCTCAGGATATTCCAAGACTGGTATGAGACAGGTGTCATGGGAACAGAGCAATATTTACATGAACCTGATAATGAAGTCAAATAAAGGTTTAGGGAAAGCAGGGATGGACACCGGAGAAAAGGGAGACTGGGTGAAAGATTGAAGAGGTTGTGTACTTACAAACAAGCGTGATAAAGAAATTAAAGGTCCCATTTGGAAAATGTTTTAATAATAAGGATGATCCAAAAGGAGCTTCACAGTAAATGTCCAGAAGGAGGACTGCTGGATAACTGAAGAAGAAGAGAGGTATATCATAATAGGAGTAGTGGCCTGACAACAGTCTGCATGTGTGTGTGTGTCGCTGTGAGTTTGTGGGCTTTGACGTTGAGGTGAGCTGATCAGTCACCGGAAACTCCCCCGTACCTCCCTCACTAAAGGCGGTTTAAGGTCACTTTGTCCCCTTAGCAACAGGAACGTCAGCAAACACCCCATCAACCATCCACCCGCCCCGAAACCCCCGCACAACTCTGACCAAATGCCACCATCTGCATGTGCATGTGCGTGTGTGTGTGTGTGTGTTGGTGCATAAGTCTGTGTTTCCTGAACTTCTACAAATGCCACTGAGAAGTGACACCATCAAACCAAACCAAACAAAGGGGTCTTAGAGGTGTTTTCTTACTGTGTTGTTAGGAGCAAAACACAGACACAGACACACACATTAATCCTAGCTCCTCTCTTCACATTTCTTTTTTTCCTGTTTTGCCTTTTAAAGAAGTTGCAGAAAGTTGAGTGGGGCCTGTGCTGTCTTTTTGGGCATACACACACAAACACAAAACCACAGTGTGAGTGCTCCTCAGGTACCAAATAAATTAGACTTTAGGCCATGTACTTGCTTCACATTCATAAATGCCTTTGTGTGTGTGTGTGTGTGTGTGTGTGTGTGTGTGTGTGTCCGCACACTCAAACTCCTGCTCCTTCTCATTTGCCTGCAGTGACAGGCTCGTCTCTCCTCGCTAATGCTAACACGTTGCTGCTAAGCTTCTAATTAAGATGTATGAGTCACCGTGTCTATTGGAGTGTGTGTGTGAGATTGTGCGTGCTTGCGTGTCTTGTCATCATAGTCTGCCACACATGAGTGGCGCTGTCTGCGTTGTGCTTGGCAGGGTTGAGTGGTTTTGCGGCCAGGAACGCTGTCTAATTTAAGATGTCACACATGCTCGGTAGCTCATGTACGCAGGCCTTTCTTACACGCGCTCTGCTGTAGTAGCAGGCGACACGCAGCGGACCAAGGGCCACACACATATACACACAGATTCTGTTTATAACCACACTTGTGCCACAGAACATCTTGATGGATAGACAGTTGGGCGAGGGGGTGTTGATGAGAAATACACACAAATGTCAGCCGTTTTGCAAACCCACACACAAACACAAGAATGTACCCATTTTTTTAAACAGCACCACCGTGTCTTCAGTTGCCTGGCAGGGTGATTACTACTTTTATCATCCTGCTCATCATCCAACATCATCCCACTGACACGTGACCACTAGCAGAAAAAACTTCAGCTCTTAATCACGTACTCTCTTTAATTGTTGCAGTGACATGAGTATTTGGGCTAGATATGAGGATTTATTTTTTCATAATGAATTAGAGAGATAATTCAGAATACTGAGAATTAAGTTGAATTCACTCTAAACCATTTTAGTCAAAATTAATTTATTGCATGAAAACTCTTTTAACATTTGGCAGTATGGCTCTGTTTTGAGAGTTCCCTGCCCTTCCATGTGCTTGCATGGAATGCCACGGCTATATGTGGGGAGAGCCCCTTCCCTCCCTTTCATGTGCATTGATTAAAAGTCAAGGCAGGGAAAGCAGCAACAAAATAAATAACAATATAATTATTTACAGTAAATAATGACAATACATATGACACTGGTAAGATCAGACACTACATTAACACGAGGAGCTGAGGTGGGGGTGGGTTGCAGAGTGGGGTAGGCAGGAGAAGCAGTTTAAATAGGGCGCCATTTTGACATTTGCCAATTGGATGTATGGAGGGCGATCAGCTGACTGTAGCCTTTAGCTTGACTTCGCGTCCTGCCTGAACTACCGCTATGCTCAATACTATAAGAATAAGTTAAAAATAAATGCTGATGTGTGAATGGTTCAAACCACACTCACACATCGATGGCAGAGGCTGCAATGAAGCCATCAGTTTTTGACTAATCCCATTTACACACCATTGGGCTCAGCTAGTATGTTAGGTAATAGGTCAGCGAGGCGATAGTCCAATAGCAACTGGCTGAAAGAGTGCATATGGTATCTGAATTGGTTCTAGCCCAGTGCTTGTAAGGAAACAGGTCTCTTGAAGACCACAGACCTCTTAAGTTTCTTGGATGGAAGCAGTGAAGGGTTACTGAAAAAGAAAGAGTGACCCTGACAGCTGGAGGCAGGGCAGCATGGACTTGAGTCCACTGGCTGCTCCATTGGCCTCTACTCCACTTGATCGCTTCACATGAGGTAGAGGGCAAGAAGTCAGGCTTACCACTCCTGCACCCAAGAGTGATGCAGACTGACAGACAACACCAGACATCTGACTTTACAGACTGTATTTGAACAAGGTGAATCCCTGTGTGTCTCCAACATCCAAACATGGAGACTGTCCCGCAGTTTCAGTGACTTTGGAAACTTTAATTTAGCTCTGTTCTGTCTTTCCAGTCTTACAATAAGAGTAATCTTACAAGGGAAGAACTTGATAAATTATAGGCTGGGGTCTTCTCGACTTTCTAAGGAGCTCACTCGCCCCACACACACAATAGGGTAGCATGTTAACTTTCCCCTCTCTGAGGCTGATTTGACGGTTGAAGTTGCAGAGTGAGCTTGATAGCATGATTGTTTCTCATTTTTGATGGGGTTTTAGTTTCCATCACTGCTGTTTTTGCCACTGAGGCATTTTTCTGAGCTCCCACTAGGAAGCAGACTCTCCCGAGCCCATACGTCACTACCCTACTGGGAGCCTTCAAACAAATGTGCCCACACAAACACAAACAAACACTCCTCCTCCCTTTCATTTCAACTTCATATCTATTCATCCCCACTGATTCTTCACCGCCACACTTTCAATGATTCTACATTGTATGCAAATCAGCCGTTCAAGCGCTGCGTCTCTTCTTTTTGTTCGGCATGAGACGGTTTATTCTTTTTGTTGTTTTACAATGTTTAATCAGAGGCTGATCTTCAGTGGAGAGTGATTTTGAGAAACTAGAATGACTAAAGAAATGACTCATTAAAATGAATCTGCTGAGGAGGAAGTTGCTGATGAGTTGAGCCAATTGATGCTCTGTTGGGCCTTTGCATCTGTTGTGTTTGTTGCTATGCTTCCTTCCAACTTTTCAAATGTTGGCTATCGTTTTCTGGAACGACACTGAATCAAATAAAAATGAGTTCCTCTGAAAAGAACACTGGGTAGAACTCTTTTTTTGTTCTCAGCCTTTTTAGCACATTTCAGGCTGCTTTGTCACAGATGGTGCAACTTGATCTGCATCTGTAGAGTCTGAGTTTCACAATTCACTGAAAAAGAGCAGACGGTCTCCATCTAAATATGGAAAATACATCTATTTGTTACTGTATTACCCACTGGAGATCCGAGTCAGCAGGGCCCCTTTGTTGAGAAACCAGCAGGAGAACCAGAAGAGTGGCCTGGATGTCAGACAGGGTCAAGAGATACTCCCTGAAACACTGAGGTCAATGTGAGTGTGAGCTTTATGCCAACATTTTTCAGTCTTTCACTCTCACAAAAAAACATTTAGTTTTAGTTCTACAATGTCCATTACCTGCAGCTCTCCTTAGCTGGTTGGGTCCTTCATGCAAGAGAGACTTTGACTTTTGTACAGCACACTGATGTAAAGTTAATTTTAGTATTAAGTATACAGTGTTGTGCCTGAACACTTTCATTCAATGATAGTTCAGGAATTCATTCATATTCTGAAGGAACAGGAAATGAACGTAGAGTACTGCTGCCTAGTGAACGCTACTCTGAACTCGTCATTCTGGTGTCTGTGAACAGCTCACTCTCTCGTTCATATTCGTGCAAAAAAAAAAAATGCACCTTAAGGACTACTGTCCTGGTTTTCTTTTACTAATTTCTCATTAAAAAATACCACATTGTTTTGAGAATATACAGTAGGGGGGAAAGCTGCAGCTGCTACGTGTGTAGACTGAATGGAAGGCAACAAAGTTTTAAAGCAACAATGTGGAAATGTTGTCCCCTTGATGCTAATGTGAACCGTGGTTGGATAGGGTTCAATATTGGAAATGAAGATATAATCTGACGTGTTGTTTCAGTGTTAAAACTGATAAAATAATTGCTGTCTGTTGTTCTATATGGGCTGTGGCAATAATTTATAATAGCTCAAAGCAACATATGGGGAAAAAATGACTGAATTTGTTCAGTTTTGGAACTGTGAGCTTAGTTAAAATTTTTAAATTATTAACTATGAACTGAACCAGTTTATGTTAAAGTTTGTCAACTGAGCTCTTACCAAACCCCCAACTTAAAAGAAATTGTTGTTTCAAAATGTTTGGTGTTCTTATACCTTCTGCTATATAACAAAATCACCCCT